TGGCTCAGTGGTAAAGAATGTGCCTGCAATGCCGGAGACATGGGTTTGACCCCTAGGTCAGGAAGATCCCCTGGAGAAAGAAACGGCAACCTACTTCAATATTCTTGCCTGAAAAATCCCATGGACAGAGGAGCCTGGCGGGCTACAGTCCATGAGGTTCCAAAGAGTCGGACACCACTTAGCAGCTAAGCAACAACTGGCCCCAAAAAAATGGAGATGCAGGGATTGTCCGACAAAGAAAACAAAATAATTGTTCTCAGAATACCCAGAGTGCTACAGGACAGCACAGATAAAAATTTAACAGTGTCATGAACACAATATAAGAACAAGATGAGAGGATTCAATACCAAAACAAAAACGAAACAAAAAACCCAAACCACCCAATTTAAAAAATGGGCAGGAGATCTAATTAGACATTTTTCCAAAGAAGACATATGAGTAGCCAACAGACACATGGAAATATCCTCATACAGAGCAATGCAAATCAAAACCACAATGTGGTATCACCTCACAGGTCAGACCTGTCAAATGGCTCTGATCTAAAATCTACAAATAATAAATGTTGGCAAGGATGCGGAGAAAAGGGAACCCTAGTATACTGTTGACAGGATAAATTGGTGCAGCCACTATGGAAAACAGTATGGAGGGTCCTCAAAAACCTAAAAACAGAACTACCATATGATCCAGCAATTCTACTCCTGGGTACACAGCCAGAGAAAACGAAGACACTAATGTGAAAACATACACGCACCGCCCCCACCCCATGTTCACTGAAGCATTATTTACAAGAGCCAAAATATGGAAGCAACCTAAGTGTCCACCAACAGATGAATAAAGAGGATGTGGTATGCGGACACAATGGAATATTTATTCAACCACAAGAAGAATGAAATTGTGCCATTTGCAACAACATGGATTGATCTGGAGGGTATTACGCTTAGTGAAAGAAGTCAGACAATACTCTTATCACTTTATATGTGAAATCTACAAAATAACACGAATGCAAATTATGAAACAGACTCAGATATAGACAGAACTAATGGCTACCAGTGAGAAGAGGGACAAAATACAGGTATAGGATTAAGAGACACAAAATAATATAAATAAAACATACAAGCAACAAGGATATATTGTAGAGCACAGGGAAATACAGCTATCATTTGTAATAACTTTAAATGGAGTATGATCTATGGAAATACTGAATCAGTATGTTGTGTATCTGAAACAAATAGAATATTATACATCAACTATACCTCAACAAAAATAAATAGATAAAAATAAAATATAGTAACTTAGGGGGGAAAAACCCCAAGATGGGAATTCACCAGAGAAAACATAAAAAAGAAACACAGGAATTTGGGAGATGAATATAATCACTAAACTGAAGAATTCAACAGAGTTTCATCAGCAGCTGACAGTCAGAAGAATCTATGAGCTCACTGGCAGGTCACTGATAGTCAGCCAGCTAGTGGAGAGGAAAAAAACCCAAAAAACTTCTAATGAAGAAAGCCTATGGGTCTTATGAGATTCCTTCAAAAGAAACTATGTATCACTGAAGTCTCAGAAGGAAAAGAGAGAAGGGTAGAGAGTTTATTTACAGAAATAATGGCTGAGAAAATTCCAAAACTTGAGGAAGAGATTTGAACATAAAGTTCATGAAACTAATACGTCACCCCAAATTTTCAAACCAAAATTATCTTCTCCAAAAAGGGAACCCTCCTACACTGCTGGTGGGAATGTAAAGTACAGTCGTCATGAACAGTAAGGAGGTTCCTCAAAAACTAAAAACAGAACTACCATATGACCCAGCAATCCCACTCCTGGGCACATACCCAGAGAAAACCTTAATTCAGAAAGATACATATACCCCAATATTCACTGCAGCACTATTCACAACAGCCAGGACATGGAAAAAACCTAAATGTCCATCAATAGAGAGATGGATAAAGAAAATGTGGAATATATATACCATGCAATATTATTCAACCATAAAAAGGAATGAAAGAGTGCCCCATCCACACACACACACACACACACACACACAGGAATATTCAATTCAGTTCAGTTCAGTCGCTCACTCGTGTCCGACTCTTTGCGATCCCATGAACCTCAGCACGCCAGGCCTCCCTGTCCATCACCAACTTCCAGAGTTTACTCAAACTTATGTCCATCAAGTCGGTGATGCCATTCAACCACCTCATCTTCTGTCGTCCTCTTCTGCCCTCAATCCCTCCCAGCATCAGGGTCTTTTCAAATATGTCAACTCTTTACATGAGTTGGCCCAAGTATTGGAGTTTCAGCTTCAGCATCAGTCCTTCCAATGAACACTCAGGGCTAATCTCCTTCAGGATGGACTGGCTGGATCTCCTTGCAGTTCAAGGGACTCTCAAGAGTCCTCTCCAACACCACAGTTTCAGAAGCATCATTTTTCGGCGCTCAGCTTTCTTCACAGTCCAACTCTCACATCCATACATGACCACGGGAAAAACCACAGCCTTGACCAGACGGACCTTTGTTGGCAGAGTAATGTCTCTGCTTTTACACAGGAATATTACACAACCATAAAGAAGAACAAAAACGGTGCCATTTACAGAGATACCTGCACCCCCATGTCCGTCTGCGGCATTATTCCCAACAGATACTGTATGGGAACAACCTGGAAGGCCAGCACAGGAGAGCGGCTGAAGCAGATGTGGGGACGTCCCTGGTCCAGGGGCTAAGAACACGCCTTTCAGGGCAGGGACAGCAGTTTGACCCCAAGTCGGGAAGTGCACGCACACAGGGAAACCAAGCTGGCGTGCCACAACTACTGAGCGCGCGTGCGCCAAAGCTTCTGCTCCAACACAGGACACCCCCCACGCCACAGCGGGACGCCCCGTGCCGCCACCAGAGACCCACACAGGAGAGAAGAATAAAAAAGAGTGCTGGGCTGGCCAAAAGGTCTTATGAAAGTACCAGAAGGAAACTTTTGGCCAACCCAATCATATGTACAGTGGAATGTTATTTTGTCCATTAAAAAAAAGAAGGGAATCCTGCCATTTGTAACAACATGGATGGACCCTGAGAGCCAAGTAAAGTAAGTCAGATGAGAAAACACAAATCCTGTATGATCTCAGTTACATGTGGAATCTAAAAACAATAAAGTCATAGGAACAGAGAGTAGAATGGTGGTTAGCCAGAGGCTGAACGTAGCCAGGGGAGAAATGGGAAGATGTTGATGAGAGGGTATAAACTTCAGACATAAGAGGATTAAGTTCTGGGAACATATCGGACAGCATGGCAACCATAGGTAACACTGTACTGTGTACTTGCAAGCGGCCATGATAGCAGAGCTTTAATGTTCTTATCATAACACCAAAAACAAATTGTAATTATGTGAGGTGAGGGATGTGTGTTAACTAGCTTCTCTGTGATAAATATTCATAATATATACATGTATCAGATGATCACACTGTACAGCTTAAACATATGCAGTATTTATTATATGTCAATTATAGCTCAAAGTTTGGGGGTGGGGGGGCATGTTAGCTCATTTATTTTTGAAACTTTGGCAGCATGGATAGTACCTGGCACACAGCTAACACTTAAAAAAAAATTCATTTAATGAATAAAGGAAACAAACAAAAAAAACAAAGGAAACAAGAAAAATTCTGAAAAGTAATTGACTTGAGGGACTTCTCTGGTGATCCAGTGGCTAAGACCCCATGCTCCCAATACAGGGCTCTGGGTTCAATCCCTGGTCAGGGAACAAGATCTTACATGCCTCAATTAAGAGTTCTCATGCTGCACCTAAAAAGAGATCCCACAGGCCCCAAGTAAGACCCAGCACAGCCATGTAATGAATTTTTCCAAATTGACTCCACAGTTTAAATCACATATTCAAATAAGGGCATGAAATAAAGACAGGGGAAAGCAACCACAGCACAAAACAGCCCAGTCTTAGTAAAGCGCTACTCTATGATCACGGCAAATCCGTAAAGGCTGAAGGGCCCAAGCCCAAGTTCAGCCAAGGAAGAGTTAAAACCGCAAGGCTAAACCAACCAAGGGCTTCCCTGGCAGCTCAGCTGGTAAAGAGCCTGCCTGCAATGCAGGAGACCCAGGTTCAACTCCTGGGTTGGGAAGATCCCCTGGAGAAGGAAATGGCAACCCACTCCAGTATTCTTCCCTGGAGAATCCCATGGACAGAGGAGCCTGGCAGGCTATAGTCCATGGGGTTGTAAGAGTTGGACATGACTTAGCAACTAAACTAAACCAAACCAACCAAGAAACTGTAATAATATTTTTTTTTCTTTAACCTGTCCGTATTTACTTCCTCTTCCTGTGATAACACACTGAGCTCTCCCTTTGAGGAAAAGGTCCCTCCTCCTCCAAAGCACAGAACTGGTGCCCCGGCCTCTCCTAACAAACAGCAGGTGATGAACCCAAGCCAGGCCACTCAGTCCCTGTCTGTCTCAATCTCTGAAAAATCTGAATCATGAGCAGAGTGACCACATGACTGGAAAAACAAAGAAGAGCGAGCTGTCTCAACGGAAGCTCTATGAAGACTACCCACTGCTTCCGGCTCTCTAGATCTCTGCAGCTGCTCAAGGGTCTGTTCTTTCCAAAACTCAGCTTCTCAGCTTTTACTTTAAGAGGATGAGCTCATCATTCTAGTGATTTACTTCAGTTAGTCAAAGAACCCTAAATGTTGGACATAGGTACTATTTCAGTCACTTACAAGCAAAACAGGTGACCCTCTGAATAATAAAACAAAAATGAAAGTTAACTTCAAAATATTTTAAAATGCATTTACAAAAATGAAATCAATGTCAGACCTAGACTATAAAACACTATATATGCTACCATAAAAAAAAAATACAATAGCATTTTATTCACCGATTTGTTTCTGGCTAGGTGCCCTAAGTTCATTAAGATCCATCATATGAACATCATGCAAGGTCAGGTTTTTATCAGAGTCATAAGGAGAAAAGATTGTGTTTAATCAGAAATATGATCTCTACCTCAATTTTAGTTTGGATCTTACTATCCAAGGTGCTTCCTCTGGAGCTCCTGTTTCATGTCTTCTCATCCACCATCAAATGAAAGATTTGTGGTCAAGCGCATGATTAGTACTAAGAGGAGAAACATATCTAAAAATATCTATTCAAGCAGCTGACTGACATTTCCCTTTATCTGACTGATCTACTGCAGTCTAATGCACACAAAGTGATGGCAAACTCTTCTAGATGCCCTGGACCACAGGCAATCTATAACAACCTAAAAAGGAAAGTTATTAACCTGCCTCTACTTCAACACCTACCTGGTTTCTAAAATCCTAAGTTGTGTCAAGTGTGAAGCTAAGAAATATCTTTCAGAGGAGAAACGTGATTTCAGTAGGAAGAAAAAAAATACACATATATTTCTACTGTGGCCTAAGACTTTATTTCACACTATAAGTTAATTAAAGTGCATAATCCAGGGAATTCCCTTGTGGTTCAGTGGTTAGGTTTCAGCGCTTTCACTGCAGAGGGCTGGATTCAGTCCCTGGGAAGCTAAGATCTGACAGGCCGTGTGTCTGAGGCCAGAGAAAAGGAAAGGAAAGAAAAACAAAGGAAAAAACGCATAACTGAGGTCCATCATCAACAGTTCTGGTATGTGAGAGGCGAAGAAAATGGTACAAGACAGGCAGAACATAGAAATCCCTTTCTGGTAAAGTATACAATATAATTGGAAGAACCAAATATACACATGCAACATATGTATTATTGATTTGACAAACAGAAGTTTGTACATAATTGAATACATGTTACATTTACCTTTTCTCCTAATATGTTTACTCTTAGACAAGGAAGGAGGTTTAACAAGAAAAATAAAAGCACCTGGGCACTGTCCCAAAACCAAGAACCCAGGACTTTTTACATGTAGCCAGAAACTAAATTAAATGCAATCTGTATCTAATATTTTTCTTCACCATGTTCCCATTAAGCACACTCTATAGTTTTCACAACTGCCATCAGAGTTCTTCAAACATTTATGCAGCAGACTGCTTTAGGCAAGGCTGGGAGGTTTCTGGTAAAGAGACAGAAGAAGGAAAGGAAGTAGGTGAAGTAATTAAAAAGTGTTACAATTTCATTTCCTGTCAAGTTTCAGATCTGATATTTAAACACTTGGCTTCTGGTACACACTTCTGCTACTGCAGCTCCAATCTGCTGACCTTCCCAAAAATCATGTATGTGTACCGAAGAGATGTAGACTGCATTTTGTCAGTGACAGTGACACAAAGGAAAACCCCAAACGCTAATTTCTTCCAGCCAGCTGAAAGTAGTTAGCACCTTCCGTAATACAGCGTGTGCCCTGGCAGACCCAAACACAGAGCTCCCGCCGATGGCAGCATCTGTGAAAGCAGAAACCAACAAAGACACACGGAAACCAAAAGCCAGGATGAGACGCCAGCAGTGAGGGCCGGGGGTCAAGTGTGCAGACTGCTTCTTCTGTTTTCAAAACAATGTCTGGGGGCGGATTTACACTGTCTCTAAAAAATCATAAAAATAAAGAGTATGGCATTGGAATACCATGTATATATATCAATGGAACAGAAGCCGAAGCCCAGAAATGGGTCACACACACATGGTCAATTATTTTTCAACAAAGGTGCCAAGGAAATCTAATGGAAAAAACAAAAAAAACACTTTCAATTAAAACTAGCTATTAGGTAAAAGGAAAAAACCTTGGCTCTCACACTAAACACAAAAATTACCTCAAAATGAATTACAGACCTAAATATAGAAACACTGTAAAACTTCTGGAGTAAAACACGAGAGAAAATCTTCACAACTCTGCAGTAGGCAAAAATCTCTTAAGGGACCAAAAGCACAAACCATGAAAGAAAAAACTAGTACGCTAAACTTCATAAAATTTAAAAGCTTCTCCTCTTCAAAAACTGTTAGGAAAATAAAAAGGCAAGCCGCAGACTGGGAGAAGAGAGGCACTATACATATATATCACATATATATGACTACATATATATATATATACACACACACAGATATATATATGTGACAGATAACTAAGATCTTGACTATATTTAAGAAAAAAAACTTAATAATAAGAAAACACCAATTTTTAAATAAACAAAGATTTTTTACATTTACCAGAAAAAGATACAAATAACCAATAAACCCATGAAAACGTGTTTGATACCACTGGTCACCAGTGAAATACAAACGGAAAATCATGAGACATTACTGCATAATCACTAGAATGGCTAAAACATTTCAACTGACAATGTAAGTTTTGATGAGGATGAGAGGGAAACAGAACACTGCTGGTTGGGATGCAAAATGGTACAGCCACTCTTAGACAATTACACAGGAAAAATGGAAATATATCTACTCAAAGACCTGAACATGGACTTTTCACAGCAGCTTAATTTTTAACAGCCAAAATCTAGAAACAAGTCAAATTTTCTGTCAACAGGTGAATGGTTAAACAAATTATGGTATATTCCATTCTATACAATTTAACAGTATCTAACAATAAAAAGAAACAATTTCAAACACACACTGAGCAAAAGAAGCCAGATAAGAGAATACAGTCTACGATTCTACGTATGTGAAATACTAGAATAAACAAGGACAACCCACGTTGGACAGAACCCGACCAGTTCCTGCCTGGGGAAGCGAGTGGGGAGTAAGGGACATGCAGTAGGAGAAGGCACGAGGGACTTGGGAGACGCATGAAAACGTTCTGCATCTTGACTGCGGTGGCTGTTACATTTGTCAAGATGCAAACTATATTCTTTAAGTGGGTATATTTTATTCTATGTAAATCATACCTGAATTTCAAAAACTTTAAGTGCTGTTGGTGATTTAAGTGGTAGAGAGGACGAAAGGAAAGATTACAGAAACAAAGGCAGAATGACATTATAAAAAGCTATGTTTTTAAAGATCACAAAGTTAAAATTCGGCACAGCTAAAACTAGGACCATACAGGGAATTTATTTAATTTCAAAATAAGGCAATGCCAAAGAACGTTCAAACTATCGCACAATTGCACTCATCTCACATGCTAGCAAACTAATGCTCAAAATTCTGCAAGCCAGGCTTCAACAGTATGTGAACTTCCAGATGTTCCAGCTGGATTTAGAAAAGGCAGAGGAACCAGAGATCAAACTGCCAACATCTGTTGGATCATCAAATAGCAAGAGAGTTCCAGAAAAACATCTACTTCTCCTTTATTGACTATGCCAAAGCCTTTGACTGTGTGGATCACAACAAACTGTGGAAATTCTTCAAGAGATGGGAATACCAGACCACCTGACCTGCCTCCTGAGAAATCTGTATGCAGGTCAGGAAGCAACAGTTAGAACTGGAAATGGAACAACAGACTGGTTCCAAATCGGGAAAGGAGTCCACCAAGGCTGTATACTGTCACCCTGCTGATTTAACTTATATGCAGAGTACATCATGAGAAATGCTGGGCTGGATGAAGCACAAGCTGGAATCAAGATGGCCTGGAGAAATATCAATAACCTCAGACATGCAGATGACACCACCCTTATGGCAGAAAGTGAAGAGGAACTAAAGGGCCTCTTGATGAAAGTGAAAGAGGAGAGGGAAAAAGTTGGCTTAAAACTCAACCTTCAGAAAACTAAGATCATGGGATCCGGTCCCATCACTTCATGGCAAATAGATGTGGAAACAATGGAAACAGTGAGAGACTTTATTTTTTGAGCCTCCAAAATCACTGCAGATGGTGACTGCAGCCATGAAATTAAAAGATGCTTGCTTCTTGGAAGAAAAGCTATGACAAACCTAGACAGCACATTTAAAAGCAGAGACATTACTTTACCAACAAAGGTCCATCTAGTCATGGCTATGGTTTTTCCAGTAGTCATGTATGGATGTGACAGTTGAACTATAAAAGAAAACTCAGCACTGAAGAATTGATTCTTTTGAACTATGGGGTTGGAGAAGACTCTTTAGAATCCCTTGGACATCAGGAGATCCAACCAGTCCATCCTAAATGAAATCAGTCCTGAATATTCATTGGAAGGACTGATGCTGAAGCTGAAACCCCAATACTTTGGCCACCTGATGCAAAGAACCGACTCATTGGAAAAGACCCTGATGCTGGGAAAAATTGAAGGCGTGAGGAGAAGGGGATGACAGAGGATGAGATGGTTGGATGGCATCACCGATGTGATGGACATGAGTTTGAGTAAACTCTGGGAGTTGATGGACAGGGAGTCCTGGGGTGCTGCAGTCCATGGGGTCGCAAGGAGTCAGACAGCATTAAGTGACTTAACTGACCAATAAATTGGGAATAACCCACAGGATAGCTGTGAAAATTAAATGAGACAGATCTAGCACTACACCTGGTACACATCACAAAAACACAGTTCAGACTCAGAATCAGTGTTAGTCGCTCAGTCGTGTCCAACTCTTCGCAACCCCATGGACTGCAGCCCATCAGGCTTCCCTGTCCATGGGATTCTCCAGGCAGGAATACTGGAGTGGATTGCCATTCCCTTCTCCAGGGCATCTTCCTGACCCAGCGATTGAACCTGGGTCTTTTGCATTGCAGGCAGATTCTTTACTCTCTGAGCCACCAGTGAAGCTAGCTCAGAAGAGTTAAATCTGTACCTATCCATTGGATAGGAAACGGCAACTCACTCCAGCATTCTTGCCTGGAAAACTCTATGGACAGAGGAGCCTGGTGGGCTACAGTCGATGGGGTTGTAAAGAGCTGGACATGCCTGAATGACTGAGAACATATTTACCCAAGTGAAGTGTTACGGTGAAACCAGGAAAATAAGTAATAATTACAGAGAATTAAAGAGTTTTAGAGGAAATAACTTTAGATACCAGTTTTAAAAAGAGAAAAGAAAATGAATTAAAGGATGCAGGCAGAGGGAAGAGCAATGGGCAGAAGAACAGAGGCAGAAGGAGAGAACTGTGTGTAGGAAATGGCACAATTAGCCGGTCTCTGGCTCCAAGTCCCTATACAGGAGGAACAAAAAACCAGGGCAATCGTCCCATTGGACAAAATATTCATTTAAACTTTACAGTAGGATCCAGGATAGAAATG